TGAAATTATGGATTCTACGGGCCACATTCTATTAGAAAATGTTTTTTCCCGGTCGATCTGAGACCATTTTTTTTCGGCCCAAAAAAAAGGCAGGGTTTAACCTTCCTTTTTTACCAAAAATCGACTGCACCAAAATTTCTCGGGAAAACACTTTTTCTTATTAATTTTAGTGCGTAGAATCCAAAACGATTCGTACTTTTTCGATTAGACTTCTCAAAAAAAAGTTATAGACTAGAAACCAATTACGTGAGTAAATAATTAAATATTCAAAGCAAAACGCATGGTCCTGACATCTATCATTATGAATGAAGACTAACATTTATCGATAAATGCAGGATACTTTATTAATACCATTATTTTAATTACATCTATTTCTGAAAGATGTCGCCACACAATTTTTTAAAATATAATTCATGAAACCAACGTTAGATGGCAGAGCTTTTTTTTCTTACAGTAACCATAGATACATTAACAATTAACCTCAAATGTAAAATAAAAGTTTGTTTATTTTTTAATCAAAAAATGAACTTTATTATCGCTCCTTTCGTTCTTACAGGTTTAAATTAGGGAACTACAGGGAAAGCGGCAGACTATTGAGGAAAATGAAACTGATCGCTCTCGGTCATCGGATCGGAAGAAGACATGTAGTTCTCGATGGATGAGAAACGTTAGCATTGAATTCAGACAACACTAATTGTAATCCAAACAAGCGGACACGATGGAGAAACGGTTCAAACATCTCAACGTTAAAATCGAAGCGTTCACATGTTTGCAGCAGCTGCAGATGGTGCGAAGCTATTTTTTTAAAAATTGAGCGAGGAATCATTCGATAGAACTACAGATACAAAAACGGTAGTGGAACGGGACAAAAGTGTTACGTAGTTTGCAAGCACGAAAAATGGATTGTTCTTTTTGCGAACTTCGAGTAAAAATTGTAAATCGTACCAGTGTCGAATGTTCTATTGACTTTAAACGAAATCCCGTGCAAGAAATTTCCAGTAACGGTAGAAAATTAGTTTTCCGATCATTGAGTATGATGTGTTGCCTACAAACCAGGCTATACATTTATCAAGTTTTTTCTGTCGTATCCGACCGTTGTTGGCTCAGTTAGTCCATTTTGGCCTTTAGAATAAAAAACGACCAGAGCCTGAACACCTACATCAAATGATATGTAACCTTTGTTTATTGACTACGGTCATTGAATAATTTTAGTTTATAGTTGATGATCTTAAATATCGTCCCGACATCTGGCGTAATTAGGTCAGACTCAGATGTTACCAATAAATGTAGGGCACCTCTATATTAGCATTATATTAGTTGTTTAAGCTTAGGGACAGATGTCACGACTGGCACGAAACAGATTTCCTTTCTTCTTTAGACGGCAAAAAGTTACGTTTTCAAATGTAAATCCTTTATACAAAAAGGGACTCGTTTTGATCACTATTTTGTAACATTTCGGCAGAGGGTAGCAATAGCACTTTTCTCATTACGGTGTCCTTCATGTACTTAATTGGGGATAATCAAGCAAAGCCCGACCATTGTTTATTTAAACAATGGCCCGACATTTCAATATGGGTATTCGATATTTGTGTAGCCTGGTTTGTAGGCAACACATCATGCTCAATGAACAGAAAACGGAACATTTGCTTTTGCAATTCGTAACTTCTTATGCATGGGAGTTTATTTAAAGCACTTGGAAGAACAATTTCAATACATGTACATTAAAGTGAACCATTTTACAACAACTTTCACACGAAGATCGCACAAACAACACATTTTTGGGTGCTTCCAAAAACTGCGTAACACTTTCGCTCCGTTTCGTTGCCAATTTCACTACCGTTTTTATAATTTTAGTTCTGCCGAATGAACTCAAGGCTCAATTGTTAACGAATAGCTTCGCACCATCGGCAGCCGCTGCAATCATGTAATCATTCGGATTTTAACGTTGAGAAGTTTGAATTGCGTTTGAATGGGTTTTCTGCGAGTTCTCCGACGTGTCCTCCTGTTTTGGTTACAAAGCATTTTCCTTTTCAATTTGTGTTGTCCGAATTCAATGCTAACTTTTCTCACCCATCGAGAACTACCAGGCTTCCGATCGGACGACCCAGAGCGATCAGTATCATTTTCCGCAATGCCCGAGCTGCCGCTTTCCTGTCACCCCAAGTAGACACTTCCACAATTTAAACCTGTAAGCGAGAAAGGAATGATAACAAAGTTTAATTGTTGATTATAAAATAAACAAACATTTATGCATTTGAGGTTAAATCTGCATATATCTATGGTTAAAATAAACGCTCAGACATCTAACGTTAGTTTAATAAAGTATATAAATAAAGTAGTGTGGCGACATCTTTGAGGTGCAGGTTGCAACTAAAATAATGTTGGTAATAAAGTATCCTGCATTTATCGATAAAATGTTAATCCCCAATAATAAGGACAGATGTCACCACAATGTATTCTTCTTGGATTATTTTAATATTACCAAAAACAATGCAAAAACTCAGGCAAGGCTATAAACATTTTGAGATTTGTGCCTTTCACTGTCAAAGAAGTAAACCACGAAACTCGAAAATTAAACTTTTCGCTCCTGTATTATAGCCTATCCCTTTTCGACAACGTTTTTGGATTGCCATAGGACAGGACGAGTGAATGAACGGCCGTCCGTACAGATCTTTTTGACGATTTTAATAAAGTATCTGTTCGCAATATACGAGTTAAATCCCCATAAGAGTACGCCGCAATAAATAAGAATTTTAAATGGGCGTTCATTTTAAGGACTTTTGAGAGCTAAGTTTCATGTGCGTTAGGTTAGATACAAGATTTGTAAAAATTTAAAACGCCCAAACTAATCTGACCTAACCTAACTACCATTCTAACCTAACCTTCAATCAACTCCTTGAACATTATCATGATACAAGATTTTTGCTAACCTAACTAGCACGCTAACCTAACCTCACTAAAATTTTATTTTAACCTTCGATCTCCTCGCACATTATATTCTCCTGATACCAGATTTCTGAGCTAACCTAACTAGCACGCTAACCTAACCTCACTTAAATTTTATTTTAACCTTCGATCTCCTCGCACATTATATTCTCCTGATACCAGATTTCTGAGCTAACCTAACTAGCACGCTAACCTAACCTCACTTAAATTTTATTTTAACCTTCGATCTCCTCGCACATTATATTCTCCTGATACCAGATTTCTGAGCTAACCTAACTAGCACGCTAACCTAACCTCACTTAAATTTTATTTTAACCTTCGATCTCCTCGCACATTATATTCTCCTGATACCAGATTTCTGAGCTAACCTAACTAGCACGCTAACCTAACCTCACTTAAATTTTATTTTAACCTTCGATCTCCTCGCACATTATATTCTCCTGATACCAGATTTCTGAGCTAACCTAACTAGCACGCTAACCTAACCTCACTAAAATTTTATTTTAACTTCGATCTCCTCGCACATTATATTCTCCTGATACCAGATTTCTGAGCTAACCTAACTAGCACGCTAACCTAACCTCACTTAAATTTTATTTTAACCTTCGATCTCCTCGCACATTATATTCTCCTGATACCAGATTTCTGAGCTAACCTAACTAGCACGCTAACCTAACCTCACTTAAATTTTATTTTAACCTTCGATCTCCTCGCACATTATATTCTCCTGATACCAGATTTCTGAGCTAACCTAACTAGCACGCTAACCTAACCTCACTAAAATTAAATTAAACCTTCGATCTCCTCGCACATTATATTCTCCTGATACCAGATTTCTGAGCTAACCTAACTAGCACGCTAACCTAACCTCACTTAAATTTTATTTTAACCTTCGATCTCCTCGCACATTATATTCTCCTGATACCAGATTTCTGAGCTAACCATGGGCTGCATTTACTTTCAAGATTCACTCGGAACAGAATATGCGTTTATTTTGTTTGTACAGTTTTCAATATTAAAAGTATTTACAGAAGTTGTACTTTATTTTCCTCCCCAATAACAAAACTGATAGGAAGATTACAGTAATACAGTACAATAAGCACCTGGTCCTTCGCACTATGCCGAAAACACTTACAAATTTGGTAGGTATCAGGAAGATATAACGTGAAAGGAGGTCTTTCAGTCCCAAATACACCTGTTCTTTGTAGACAAACTTACGTAAAAGGTGTCTTGCTACTAGGAGAACAGAATTCACGAAGAGGTCTTTTTCTATCACTAGAGTTATTTCAAAGCTTAATTTCGATTTAAAAATTTGCCATTCTGTATCGGGATCATATGATGTGCGAGGAGGTGTTTCTTTTCCTAATACTACACATGTTACTTGTCGACAAACTTATCCAAAGGTTACAAAAGTTACAGCCCTTTGAATTTTCTTTCGAAATTGGTTTCTAGTCTATAACTTTTGATTCAGAAGTCTGATCGAAAAAGTACGAATTGTTTTGGATTCTACGCACCAAAATTAATATGAAAAAGTGTTTTCCCGAGAAATTTTGGTGTAGGTTGTCGATTTTTAGTAAAAAAGGAAGTGGATTTTTTTACAGCAGATGCTGGATGTGTACTACGATGACAGATTAAAAAAAGTTTCAATTGTGATTTGTTTTGAGGTAGTTGGACGTCTGTGTGTCGACAAAAAAACTATGGAACTAATAGAAAATCGATGTTTTTTAAATAAATAAAATGTTTTTACGCAAGGCAGATACGAGGTACCCTTGACTATGTGGTTGCCTCTGCTCTAACTGAACAATTGATTAGAGACATATCCAAAAGAAATATAATCACTAATTACAAATTACAATGGATAGAATACCCAGAGAGTTAGTGGGTCGTTTCCAGTCCCAATTTTGTTGTTGTTTTGGTATAAATTCCAGGCGTATAGTGCTGCCACCTACTCAACTGAAAATATAACTATAACTCTGTAACTAAAAACTGTATAATTAAAAATAAATTATTACAGCAATGCAATGCTTAACTAAAACACTGTATAGTGAATCTAATTTGGTTAAATGGTAAATTTCAGTGTCTTTGGTAAATAGTTACAACTTTATTTAGCATATAATAAAAATATGTTACTGTCATCTCAATTAATTGACTAGCTAAATATACACCGATACATAAAAGAACATTAAAACGTTCCGCTTCTTCGACAACAAGTGGACTGTGATTAGTAGTGTTGAAAGTAAATTTGATCCAATACCATCGTCGGATTAAAATATCACAGTTACTTCATTGTAGTTACACTATTCACATTTAAGCTAATGTGTGTTATTTTTCTCGTTTACGTCTACGGACACCGAGCCATACTTAATTGGCAAATCTTCCTCGTCGTTTTGGTAGAGACCAAAATCGTTGGGCACACTCGAAGATGGCTTGGCCATCAAATTCGTATACTCATCCGTACCCCGAGCAAAGTTATACATGCTGCGGCCACGAATTCTTCTGCTCAAACTACTACCTGCATCGTTCACTTAGTATTTACCAAAAGCAACTCGAATAAACTTACTAACGATCCCGATGTGTTCTTGAATATCATGGTGAATGTCGGAAACGTCCCACATTGCTAAGAATGCTTGACAGCAATTACGAGGCGATTCGGTATTTACAAATTGCTTAAACGAGAAGCTGTAATGGTGGGCGACAGCGGCCATGAACATTTCTATACAAATTAAAAAGTTCTGTAAATAGAAAAGGTGGAGAGATAAGTTCGAAAGTAAAATGCGATGGTATACCTGTAAACGTTTCGAAACGTTAAGTTCCTCACTCGTATTCTCATTTTTAAAAATAATCCCCGAATACACTAATACGTCGATTAAAACACCTTGGCTGTTACAACAAAATTAGATGCGAAAATTATGCTCAATACTTACAAAAATGAAAAAAACACAACCGCTTTGATGCATAGAAATTTAGGTAACGGCTTCATCGGTTTGAGTTCGGCGGATGTCGCCTTATAAAACAGAACAAGGCAGTACATAGCGGCGAATTGCGATAAATTATTTACAACCAGTAAGTACGGGTAAGCTCGATTAGCAACAAATTCACCTTCCCCGTACACCCCAGACACCTCACAAATACTACGAAAGACTAAGTAAATTTTAAGGTGTCATAATGTTATTTATAGTGTTAAGAATAGAATAGTGAAACCTTCTTCAGGTTTTATATAATAAAAAAGACGTACAATTACACGTACAATGTACCATTTGGGCGCCCTACTTTGTGGGTGGACCCTGTATAATTCCAAATATTTTTAAAATGTGGAGAATATTCAACCATATCATAATACAAAAGCACTCTATTGAAAGATCTTATCTTCAAGACATTAAGTTACTCCGCGCAATCGTTGACTCACCCTGTACATAGGCTTACCTCTGTATTTATTTATTGCTTTTGTTCTTTGTAGATACCCTTTTTTTGTTTTTAAATGCAACAAATTTTGATACATAATTTATTAGAGAATGATAATTCCATATATGTATTTACAAAGGAGAATTGTTGTAATATTCCTTCTGTAAATACCTATATCTTGCAAAAGTGTCATCTTTACTGCTTACTGTAAGCTTTCACGTTATCCATAAGATCGCCTCACTATTCTATTCTTCACCCTACGCATAAACTTACACTGAAATTGCGGTACTTAGAGGACGAACGACAGTGTACTGTAATATGCCGTGCTTACAAATGTGGACGAACTCCCTGAAATAGAAAATTTGATTAAATCTTGCGGAAAAACCGTCGAATACTTACCTCCCCATTTCCCAATTTGGTAAGAAGCACAATGGAAAAATATGTTTAACTTGCGGCTTTAACTCTAAATTAGTCTCTAAATCCATCTCTGCGCTCAGATAATTCAATAAGAACTTCATAAAATTGTATATAACAAAGGCCTCGTAACATTCACGACCACTATCCATATAAATCGACTGTTCGGGAAACAACAGTACCAACCACTGAAACACGAAATGAAAACGGTTACTTAACACGACAGTACTACTTACAGCATTTATGGCGTAAATTGGCACCATCCATAGTATTCTACAAACAAATGCATTAGAATCCGAATTAACGCAAGTCTCCTTACCGAATGATAGGTTTTTGTAATACTGGTTCGGAATAGTTTATTACATGTTGGATTATTTCCCATAGCGAGATCGGAACTGCGACCCACGCGAAAATGCCAGCAATAAATATTTCCTGATCCCGTTTATTAAATCCGTCCTGAACGGATTTTACTAAAAACAAAGGAACGAACACCACCACCGCAATTGCATACAAAAATATGGCTAAAGGGCCTATCCAATATCTCCAGTGTACTATACAATTCCTACAATTACATGCCATGATTGTGACATGCCTTCATGATATGCGTATCAAATAATCGCTAAATACTTGTAGAAGTAAATAAAATATGTTGACAATAAACAAACTGTGAGGTTATGTTAATCTAGCTGTCAAACGAATGAACTACTGTGGTCGCGTTCATAACAACCTCATAGCGCAAGCCACCACCCCGTAAAAGGAGCGTTCAGTTATCGTATGTGTATTCCTAGGCAAGTGCGGACTGGCCCGGGGGGGCGAGGGGCGATTGCCACCTGGCCTGTACGTCATAATGGCCCGTTGGAAATTTATAAGTATGTGCTGTATTTAGTTTCTTGCACTATTAATAAATTATTAACACGTTTCTCTAATTGGGGTTGATGTTAGGTTGTTAAAAAATTCTGTTTTAATTGAAGTGTTTTACAATGAATTTATCATTTTTTGTCGTAGCATGAAAGTGATGAAATACAATGATAGGCGACGCGCCTCGTTTGGATTGTATATTTTGTTACTTTTAATTATCAGCTGCAGTTTAAAAAAAAACTGTATTGTAATTGATTTCCGAAAAAGGAGTACCTTAAAATGAAGCAAAAGATGTTTTTGTGGTGCACCGCAGAGCTACCCCCCCGCCACCTTCATTACTACACTAATACTTTAATGGCCCGTAACCTATGCAATTCCACCTGGCCCGCCCCTGACTAGAAACCAATTTCGAAAGAAAATTCAAAGGGCTGTAACTTTTGAACTAGTAGCCCAATCTTGGAACTGTTTGAAATTATGGATTCTACAGGCCACATTCTATAAGAAAATTTTTTTTCGGGTCGATCTGAGACAATTTTTTTGCGGGCCTCAAAAAAAGGCAGTGTATAACCTTCCTTTTTTACCAAAAATCGACTGCACCAAAATTTCTCGGGAAAACACTTTTTCTTATTAATTTTGGTGCGTAGAATCCAAAACAATTCGTACTTTTTCGATCAGACTTCTCAATCAAAAGTTATAGACTAGAAACCAATTTCGAAAGAAAATTCAAAGGGCTCTAACTTTTGAACTAGTAGCCCAATCTTGGAACTGTTTGAAATTATGGATTCTACAGGCCACATTCTATAAGAAAATTTTTTTTCGGGTCGATCTGAGACAATTTTTTTTTCGGGGCTCAAAAAAAGGCAGTGTATAACCTTCCTTTTTTACCAAAAATCGACTACACCAAAATTTCTCGGGAAAACACTTTTTCTTATTAATTTTGGTGCGTAGAATCCAAAACAATTCGTACTTTTTCGATCAGACTTCTCAATCAAAAGTTATAGACTAGAAACCAATTTCGAAAGAAAATTCAAAGGGCTGTAACTTTTGAACTAGTAGCCCAATCTTGGAACTGTTTGAAATTATGGATTCTACAGGCCACATTCTATAAGAAAATTTTTTTTCCGGGTCGATCTGAGACAATTTTTTTTTCGGGGCTCAAAAAAAGGCAGTGTATAACCTTCCTTTTTTACCAAAAATCGACTGCACCAAAATTTCTCGGGAAAACACTTTTTCTTATTAATTTTGGTGCGTAGAATCTAAAGCAATTCGTACTTTTTCGATCGATCTCAATCAAAAGTTGTGGACTAGAAGCTAGGGCCTAGGTAAAGACGTTTTCTGGTCGCATCAACGGCCGTCTGTGTAACCTAACGACAGTCGTGGTGAGACAGCCAGCTTTACATGCCCTCCGAAGCATGGTAGGTAGTTAGATGTTTTATTGTGGGATTCGAACTTACATTTTAATGTTGTCCACTAGCTATGCCTACTAACACAATAAACGTTATTATTACGAAGACGACTATAAATAATAGCCCTTCACTATACGAGCTCACACCCGATTCCCAGCCGCAACCCGACATACGACCCAGCGTGTTTCATTCTTTTTTAAAGATTTTCAGATTATTTGAAGAGTTTTCAGGGGTTCCAAAAACTTTCCACGTATTTTCTGAAGTTTCCCAAGGCTCTAGATCTGGATATACAGGGTGGTAAGTTATGCATGAATATCAGAATGGGAGATCTGGCAACGCCCGTAAGTAACAATATACCTACTGTTCAAGAAATCTACTCGTGAGATATTTGATCTACTCCGGTTTGTTTATAATTTATATTTTCAAATTATTATCAATGCTAATATTTATACTACTATAATGGTCACGATTAGAATACAAGAAGGGCAACAGATTAACTGAAGATTTCTAAGTAAATAAACAGTGCAAGCTTCACCTCTCGGACAACCAATGTTTCTCTCCGACCCTCTTCTGTTTTCGTTAGCTCTGCTAGATACGGGGGCGATTTTATTCCTGCTTATTTACTTCGTATCCTTTTTTTATGCGTATGCATTCGCACTTTGTACATTCTTTCTTAACAAATTCTAGGTTATAACACTGTCCGATCTAGAGTGCGACTATTTAAACGCTCAGCAGTGCTGCTCGAAACTGAACCCTTGGGTAGCCCCGAAACTGATAGCCCACGTTTTTATTACGGTCTTTATAGGTTTACAAGGCCATTGGCTGTTGATGTTAGCCAATTTGCCGATGATCGGCTGGCTAACCTATGAGATTATAAATATACCGAAGGGTAATTTAGGTCTTTATGATCCGACGGAGATTCACAACAGGGGGCAACTTAAGAGGAGCATGAGAGATTGCATGGTCTACTTAGGGTATTATTTAATATTTTTCTTCATTTACCTCTATTGGTACGTATAAATGTGAGTCAAATGCGGTTTTCAATGTGTTATTTTAGTATGATCGTTTCCTTGTTGAAGGAAGACCCCACAGTTAGAAACGATGACGCAGGAAATTTCGAATACTAATGCATTCAGTTTCACAAATTTTTTGTTGTTTGCAGTTTTATTTTATTTTAACTTAGGTAAATTAATTCCATTTGTTAATTGGTATAATTGCACTATTTAGCAATGCTGTTTTTGAAGGAAAGAATCGACAATTATTATTGTACCTTGTTTGTAATTAGCATATAGTAGTGTTTTGTAATAAATGTTAACTCTTTTCTGTTTTATTGTATTCATTTATCAAACTTCGGTAATATTAATGCAATTAATTGCTTGTATTTGTGAGCGGAAGCTAGGACTATTCAATGCTATGTTATTAGTGATTCAGATTAACACTAGAGGCGCTGATGTGATTTACAAATGGCGTGTGTAGTTGGGAGCGTTTTGTAAACAGGGTTATATATGGTTATTCTCACAGAGTTGTATATAAGTAAATAGAGGGGCAGTACATACGACCTGCGCGTGGAAAAATAACTCCAACTACAGTGGCCAACTTTTAATGGCGGAGCCGTTGGGACTCATGCGCAGTGCGTGAAAGGGAATCAGCACAATTTTTGGGTGCATTCAGTTACATAATCACAAAACAAAACAGCAATAACTTTTCAGATGCTTCAGATTCATTTGTAAATAAACAGACGCTTTGGAGTAATAATTTAAGCATGCCCATTACATTATACTCTTTACCGCCATTTCAATGTTTAGTAGGCGACGATCTGTACATAAATAAAGGATATTTTAAAATGCTCCTAGAAAAGTGCAAGAAAAGATCAAATATATGGGTGGAAGGAAAACTCTTCGCAAGCAATTGTTGAAACTTGGTTTTCGATACAAGAAGTGTCGGGACAAACGTAGGTTGGTAATGGAAAGAAGTGACATTGTAGTATGGCATCTCGTTATTTAAGAAGATTAAAAGAAAATGAACAACCTGAATGTGACAATTAACCCGTTATATACTTGGACGAAACCTATATTCACCCATCGTACGAAGTGAGTAAATGCTAACAATCAGATGAAGTATCGGAAGTTTATAATAGGGCTGGTCAGAGGTACATCGTAGTATGCTGGTAGTTGTTCTGGTTTTGTAGAGGATGTCGCACAGTAAATCGGGGGATTATTACGATGATATGAATCATACCAACTTTATGCAGTGGTTAGAGAAGCAGCTTATACCAAATTTACCAGCAAACTCACGCACCTTATCAGTGTTCAAATAAATAAGCCACCAACAATGAATAATCGTAAGGAAGTGATACGTTCTTGGTTAGAAGCAAATAACATTCCTACGAGAAATGAATTTATTGACAATGTACAATTTATTGTGAACACCGATGATGATTAGTGGTCAAGTGACGATAATGAATGAAAAAAGTTAAAGGTTGTGTGTTAATTTAGTCAATGTGAGTGTTATTAATTTCAATGTGATTGTTTCAATAACTGTCCATATTTACACAGCAGAAGTGCATCAGAATTGTAAATTGTGTTGAACATGAACATCTAACAATCTTAAATGTGTTTACGTTTTGTAGAAATAAAATTATTAATTTTACTGTTTCCCCTTGAAGTAATGCAACTCATATCGCGTGGCCCACTTATTTATATTTAGTAGAGTCAAATATTGCATGAGAATGTACAGTCTAAATTTCCAACGTCCTCGGACACGCCCTGTCAGGAACCTTCTGAGCGTGGTGCCACTGTACATACCTTCTGCCGATGCTCCATTTTTGAGATATTTGAGTTATTGGCATTTGAGGTTTGTCGACTTTGTGGCTACCCGTATTCAAACTGTGTTTTCGGCATTGCACACCTGAAATTTTGTCCCGCACCAAAATAAAATTTCAACTTATTTTATTCTTTCATTGCTTATTTTTATACTCACTGAGCATAAATAGATCTTTAAACTCGATCGCACGACAAATATACGATTTCCTTTATACCAGAATCTCAACTCTCGATTCTGATGTTGTAAGCCCCTTACCAGCTTTGTATTGTAGTCTACTGTATTAAAAGTTCTTAACGATTGTAATGTTTCTTATTTATTCAAGACACAGTGTTAACAACATCATTCACCACACATTGAATTTCTTTTCAATTTTTGTTGCAATGAGACACCATATTATTCTCAAGCCGAACCTGCTTTAAGGATCATTTAATTTGAAGCCGGTTCTGTTGTCGATTACTGCGCACACTCACCAACGGCCTGCGCAAGGTTCAATTGCAGTCAATTTTTCGCTACAAGACTGTCTCTCTATTTACTTATATACAACTCTGTGGTTATTCTAAGAGGTTTTTAAATGAAATTGTAGGTACTAATTTTGAGATGAATTGAGATTGTGATGCCGTATTTGAGACTTGAAAATGTAAGACCTTAATCCTAGACATAAAAGAAAGAGCTGAAAAGTTTTGTTCACCAGAGGTGTCCCTGTATGTGAAATCACGAATTTATGTCAATGTTGTGCTGAATAACTTCAAATTCAATAGATCTGGTTGAAACAACAATAAAACACAATAAATTAGCACATGTATATATTACTGTTTCACATCAAGGTTTATTATAATAAAACACAAACGACTCTCGTTTGAAAAGTTAATCAAGTTACGAGTAAAATGGATGTTTGAAAATTGGCAAAGGCACAAGTTGGAAATTGAAAAATACAAGTTTATTAATCAAATCTGGAATGTATTAACATTACATTAAACAACACAAAATCCACTCATAAATTTTACAAACCGCACCAAAAGAATGAAAAAAAAAGTAAAACCAAACTGGTGTGTGCGTTTTTTTTCTTCAATAGAAGCTCGAAAATGATCCGACATAATCGCTATATACTAATTCCTAATTGTACAAATCTATCTTAAACATGTACTACATAGGCCGTTGATTCATTAGGAATAAATTTGAATAAATAATTATCTACTAAACAATCGTACACTCTATTAAATATTGCATTTATGAGAATACCTCTGGCACGTTCATCTACTACATTAGTTACACATATGTCGGTGAATTAAGCTCGAAAACACAATTAAAATCACTCTATTTGCCATTCACTTTATGGTAATGTAGCACGTGCAGAGTCTCTGCATCTAACAAGTGACTACGCTATGTAACAACCATCAAAGTAACAATTAGCAACAATTACTATAATATAGCAACATTCACTTAACAACTCTTCAAAATCATTTTGTCGCAATTAACGTAAATTATAATTGTGGCGTCGAGTTGCGTATACTACTAATAGTTAAGTAAAAGTTTGTACTAACGGTTAATGCAAGAAGAGATTACGCATAAGGTCATCTGTTTACCGAGTGAAATCTTGATATGTAAACAAACACATCGCAAATGGGTTGCCTAAAGAGACAAGACTAAATTAAAATTAATATTTCTGTCTGCTTCTATCACATTGAGAGAGCGCATGCGCATTTTTACATTCGATGCCCTCACCATGGAGTCCTTCTCTTTCACACAATTACGCATCGATGCAAGAGAGTGCGCATGCGCTCCCTCCATGTGGTAGCAGCAGAAATACATTAATTTTAATTAAGGGTAGTCTTGACTTAATTTTTTTAGGCAACCCATTTGCATTGTGTTTGTTAACGTATTAAGATCACTCGGTAAAAAGATGAGCGAATGTGGGATCTTGTACTATGGGGGATGCCGTAGGATCGAAATGTCTCCGATTGTTCTGCGCTCAAAAACGTTATCACATTTCCCAAAAGGACAGATTCGTTTGGTGTTTAGTATGGCCGAATTTCTACATACGAGTGGTCGCCAATTTAAAATTTGTGTAGCCCGTTTTTGAGTTGCCCAAAAATCTATGCTAGTTTTTTTTGGGGACACTAATCCTGTACTTTTCGTAATTTTGGTATTCGTCTGGGAGCCACTAAGTGTTTTCGGTCTCGTTTGGGCACTTTATTAAGTTGCTTTGATAGTAATATTAATTAAGTAATTCCCAATAAGCTCCAGATTTTCCCAGTTATCCACTATTTGGATTATTGAAGTAAATCAGAAAACTGGTAAGAAAAATCAATCTGACATCTCCAGTAAAGCAGTAAAGAAAAATGTCTGGTAAATTCTGAAAAGCCACACAGATCTTCTATGCCCACAAATCATCTGTAGTATCTTGGTTGAATCACATCCACTACTAAAAAATAATGTAAAAGTTGTATCAGTATTTTTGAAAGCATTTTCTGACAGGGGAAGCCAAAACAAGAGGGCAATTACTACCCAGCATTCTGTAAATGACTAAAGTTTGGAGAGTTTGTTTACTTAAGTGATAAGATACAGCCTATGTGACAATCTGAATTTGATGTGGGCAGTGTGTGATTAGTATGTTTAAATTCATTGTACCGGGTGACCCAATAAGACTGTTCCTCGGCCATATCTCGAGAACCGTTCGTCATATGACTTAGGGGTAAAAAAAATTATTGGGTAAATCGGTCATGAAAAATCGCTGGAAAATATTTTCAAGTTCTAAAAATGACCAATAGAGGGCGTAACTGCCATGTTAAATTTTGCATAACTAAAAAATTGTTCACATTTTTAGAGAAAATCAGTTTACCTATCATTTTCGTAAAAAGAAAAACTCAGTTATTTCAAAAACAAAGATGGTATGGAGCGTTCAATTCTTTTTGCAATAACCTGCTCTAACTTCTTAACCGTTTGACCGATTTTAACAAATTTGGTATGGGTAAAAAGAACATTCCTTGGCCAATGAGAATCAAATATAGTTAATTTAGTTGAATCCTTCTCCGCCAGCGGTCTAGTTGACCCCAAATCCTAAAAAAATTAAAGAAATCAAATGGAATGATATGAGATGAAAAAGTAGCCAAATAACATCCAAAGAGGCCAGTGAAAACCGTTTTTCAAAATCTCGTTCCTAACCTCAAATATTGGGAAAATGAGATTAATTAATAAATTAATCAAAATGTTTAACTTGTATCTTAAATTTACGTTTTACGTATTTCCGGTATTTGTCGATGGCGCGAAAGAAAACCACCCTACACTTTTAGGTAGGCCTTGGAAAATTAAACAAATGAAACACGATGCATTATAAAATAACAGCCGTAATTGGTAAATTATTCTGTTGAGTTTAAATTCAGAAAATGCAGTTCTTTGAATTGGTAATCTTTTCTAAAATGCCGATTTCTAACCAAGAAGCATTTAATATGCTGGCGATATAGTATTTTCAAAATGCGACCATCGCTGCCTGCATCTTCTATTTGCATTATCCGAATCGATCACAAACCATATTAAATAAATGCTTCTTGGTTAGAGGGTTGAGAAAAGATTACAAATTAAAAAAACTGCACTTTCTGAATGTAAACACAGCAGAATAATAAGTTACAAATTACGGCTGTTATTATTTTATAATGCATCATGTTTCATTTGTTTAATTTTCCCAGGCCGACCTAAAAGTGTAGGGTCCTTTTCCAAACAATCTTTCGCGCCATCGACAAAAACCGAAAATACGTAAAAAGTAAATTTAAGGTACAAGTTAAACATTTTAATTAATTAATCTCATTTTCCCAATATTTGAGGTTAGGAACGATATTTTGAAAAACGGTTTTCACTGGCCTCTTTGGGTGTTATTTGGCTACTTTTTCATAAAGAAAAAGTCATATCATTCCATTTGATTTTTTAGGATTTTGGATCATAGTGTCAAAACTAGCCCCCTGGCTGAGAAGGATTCAACTAAATTGACTATGGTTGATTCTTGTTACCCAAGGAATGCTCTTTTCAACGATATCAAATTTGGTACAAACGGTTAAGAAGTTAAAGAAGATTATTGCAAAAACAATTGAACGCCCCACAGCATCATTGTTTTTGAATTAACTGAGTTTTTGTTTTTACTAAAATGAAAGATAAACCGGTTCTCTTTAAAAATGTGAAAAAAGAATGTTTAGTTTATTATGCGAAATTTAAAGAAAAGGCAATTTTAAAATTTAAGATGGCAGTTACGCCCTCTGGTGGTCATTTTTAGAACTTGAAAATATTTTCCGATTTACCCAATAATTTTTTTTACCCCTAAGTCATACGACGAACGGTTCCCGAGTCGAGGAACAGTCTTATTGGGTCACCCGGTACACTATATTAGATAAATAGCTGAAAGATTTGGAGAGTAGGGCATTCATTCAATGTTTTGTATGCGTAAATAACACTTCTGTTTGTTTTTTACTTATTACAATATACTTTGCAGCTGCCATAATAATCATAATTACTGTTAGTAACAAAAGAAGATCATTTTTTGTCAAGTAAACATTTAAAAAGTATAAGCCATTGTTTTAAAATAAGCTTGGGAAAAGTGCGAAAGAAAAAAGAAGAAATTAATATTAGGCACAAATTTAGAATAGGCGAGCCTGGCGAAATCTGCCTTATCAACTTACCGTAAATTGGCAATCGGAACTTTCTTGCATTATTGTGTAAGTCTGATACACATCAAGATTAGAGTATGATAGTGTAGGTTATAAGTCACAAGCACCGAAATACATAAGAACTAATGGATAGGAGACACCTACGAATTGAAACTGAGCTCATGAGGTACGGACTTAGCACAAGAAGTTAATATTATTTGATGCACCAATACAGAAAAATCACACTGTATAAAAATAGCACGTACAAACCAATGTCTCCAGATTATCGAACGCACATGGACAACATTCAAAACTAGTCTGCTGAGTTGTCTGGCGCTTGCAACGCACTCTAGAAGAAATCGAAATACATCTAATATGACTGAATGTACCTATATGCAATTCGTTCGATGGACTGATAAAATTTCATTGTAGTATACCTTAAAATGTTCGAGCATTCATAACTTTCAGCTAGGCAGAAATATCGATAAAAAAAATTAACACACTAGAAAAATACTCAACGATAAAACAATAAAACAACACATTATTTTAAAAAAAACAAACATTTACATATGTACAAAAAAATTCAACTAATCTCGATTAGTTTCGAATAATAAAAATTAAAAAAATTAGCTAAAAAATGAGAAGTAACGCATGGTGTTGCGGAACCCATTATTATTAAGCAGTCGGGACCGCTTATCGAAAAGTATCTCATCTAAAATTGTTCTAATTCTACTATCACAACGACGAGAGACGACAATATCAATGTTTTTCTATAACCTATCAATAGCATATTAGAATTGTTATCATTAAAGATCGGCGAAGATGCCGTTTGGATGATTGTCAAAATTGTGTTCGAGATTCAACTCTACTAATTTCGAATGATGTTCGCTTGATCGGTGCGTATTGCGAGCATACAATTTTGTTAACGTCAAGGCGACGTCGCATTAAAATAAGCGCAAACCCTTGTCGCGAATTTTCGCATTTACTGCTGTACGTTGGAACTTCCGCAGACTTCGTTCTCAGCTCTTGTGAGTCGTGTTTCGAACTCTTTCGTCATAGCAGTCTTGGCCTAGATAAGGGAATGATGTAATGTGTATTTAAATAGCAATTACGCACCTTTTGTTTGTGTTCCACTAATGCGTTCTTAACAGCTTCATGCTGTCTGGTTAGCTCCTCCTTGCGTACCTCGAACGTTTGGCCTAATCGCTCGCGTTCGGTGACGCCGCGATCGACGACGGCGCTCGCCACCTCTCGCTTAACACGCACCAGTTCGTCACGATCCCTGTGTTTTTTCGCTAACGCTTTTACTTCTTCGCGTCGGTCGGCCTGGAGTCGGCGCATCAAGTCGGACGTGTCGCGCTCTAATTGTACCTAAAAAGAATTTCCATTCATTTCTCATCAATGACAAAAGAAGAACCACTACGCACGATAGGCGTCGGTGCACAGCCTGATTTTTACGCGAAATTTAGGATAAAAGTGGAGACATCTTGAGTCAGACTGGAGCACCGTACAGTATCTACAATAAAGCCGCAGAAAGGCAACTCAAAGTAGCAATAATAGATACCAATAACCCTCTGGGTAGGCTAACGGCGAACCAGGTGCATATGGTACAAGATCACCTCACCAAGGTTCTTGACCAGCATCTGTTCACCCTAAAACAACCATGCCCTTGAGTGGTTGGCAACCTTCGACATTGTGGAAGACTGTCTGCGCAAGGCAGCCATCTGGGTCCCAGGGGAACCTGACGATTTGATGGCGATTAAGAGGCAGTTGGAGGTGCAGAACTCCTGAGCAAAGGTAGGCAGCTGGTATCTCTCCCACACAGCCATGAAAGGCAGGCTAATAGTTTTCGGCATTGAGGAAAAGAACCAGGATAACCTAGTCGTTGCGGGGAGAGGGGGTGAGGGAGGCTCAGTTATGAGATTTCGTCTCTAAAGGTGAGGGTTTAGTAACCCTGCCGAACCTGAAGTGGGGTGGTACGTCAATACAACCACCACAACACCAGCAGCTGCTTGCTCCAGCGTCAGCAAAGCACCTGGGCCGATTTCGAACTGAGAGGCGCTATAAACGATAGAAGCTATTGTGTACAAGGTGTCCCATTAATAATGGTCACAGGCTATATATATATGAAACCATTAATTGCACAGCTTCTGGAAAAAATTTTGTTAACAAAAGGGGCCAAGAGAAATCGCTGGAAATTATTTTCAAGTTTCTAGCTTCGCCGCTAGAGGGCGTACGATTCATGATTAAGTTAAAGTCACTAAATAGCTGTATTCGTTTCAAGTGATTTAACTCAGTTTAAGTGATTGCACTTTGTTTTTTTCGTTTACAATTTTAGACCATTTAGTGCATGGCTATATGGTCCAAGATTGTAAACGAAAAAAATCACTGAAACTGATTTAACTCAGTTAAATCACTTGAAACGAATACAGGTAATATAGAAAGTACCGTAATCCATTGGGCTCGTGTGTTAGAGAGAGAACGCATGATTTTTGCCCAAAAATGGCGGAAGTTACCAGATTCTAGTAACTTTAATGTTAGGGATTGTTCCACCTGTTTGGAGATATCTGTATATATTTTTATAAAACATGACAGTACTATGAAGTTAGGTTATAAAAAATTACAGCTATTCAGATTTTATTTGTCAATTTTTTTAAGTTGGCAGCAAATTTGCCCAAAAATGGCGGATGATTGCGGTACTTTCTATATCTAGTGACTTTAGGTTAAGTAGAAAAATGGCTTTCTAAAATATACCCAACAAACATGCATAAAAAATACATGCGTAGCAATCTCGTATAAATTTTGTATCATTTTGATGCAGCACAAATTGCTGTAGCTCATAAAATATGAGGGGTGTGGGAAGGGGAACATCTCTTTAAGGAATTGAATGCAACTTCGGATTAGGTCAACAGATTTTCACATAATAGGTCTTGTTGGAAAGAGTCATGAAATCAGATTTTACATTAGTCTTTTTAGTGAATGTGATGAGTGGTAGAGGGCGCGATTGACATTAACGTAAACTGCAGTTTTTTTTGAAAATTTCAAATGGAACGATATAATTATTATATGATATTATCAAATAAGATGAAAAAGTGAGAATATCAGTGAAAACCGCATTTTGATATCTGTTTTCTAAGCAGAGATATGGCGAAAATAAGAACATTCACAAATTTTAATTGCAATATTGATGCTCATTCAAGTTGGCTTTGAAACAAAAGACACACAATACCACGTAAAAAACTGTCAAAGTTTATTACAGTCTGTAGCATCCTTTCATTAAACATATGTGTGCGAATTATCACCACGTTGGGTGCTTGGTACATTTCTTGATAAGCGAGAGTCGAGGTGAGAGTATTTGAATTTGAGTTATCCTGGCAAATGGATAGAAAGAGGAAGTATTTTTACATGGCCAGCTAACTTGCTTAAACTTTTATTTGTTGGAAAGGATATTCAAACAAGGCCAACTACAAGGAACGATGTGGTGGCGACAATTGGAAATGTAATTCATATCCATGGCTGAAGTTGAAGCAACACAACTGTTCTCTCTACACAGCAGAGACTTGTCTTTGTATCGAAAATAATGGCAGACATTGAACATTTACGTTAATTATAATTATTATTTCTTTTATTATTTACTTAATTCTCTGATTTAAAGTTTGAATAATTTTTTTGTTGCCCATAGGTTGAGTCTTAATTTTTGCTTTTACCTAACTGCCATCACCTCATTCACTTTGACATAATTATCGGTTGCTATGTGTTCATTTGTTTCAAATCCAACTTGGATGAATATAAATATTGCAATTAAAATTTGTGAATGTTCGTATTTTCGCCATATCTCTGCTTACAAAATAGATATTAAAATGCGGTTTCTATTGATATTCTCACTATTTCATCTTATTTGATATCATATGATAATTCTATCGTTTCATTTGAAATTTTCAAAAAACCCTGCAAAGTTTATGTTAATGTCACATTGCACCCTCTACCACTCATCACATTTACTAAAAGGCTCTATTCATGTAAAATCTGATTCCACGAAGAGATCTCTTTCCAACAAGACCTATTATGTGAAAATCTGTTAACCTAATCCGAAGTTACATTCAATTCCTTAAAGAGATGATCCCCTACCCCCACCTCTCATATTTTATGAGCTAGAGCAATTTGTGCTGCATCAAAATGATGGAAAATTGATACAAGATGCTATACATGTATTTCTTATGCATGTTTGTTGGGTATATTTTAGGAAAAAAGTCATTTGTCTACTTAACCTAAACTCACTAGATATAGAAAGTACCGCAATCATCCGCCATTTTTGGGCAAATTTGCTGCCAACTTAAAAAAATTGACAAATAAAATCTGAATAGCTGTCATTTTTTATAACCTAACTTCATAGTACTGTCATGTTTTATAAAAATATCAATGAATAAAGAATACCAGGAAGGAGAATATCAACAATATACGTGCGACCGCGATGGCTTATGCAAATGGCGGACAGTAGTTTCCTGTTCCAGTGACGTACCTACCTCACAGTTGTAGAAGGATACAATTATAAAGAATTTTACACGAAAACAATCTAAACCCCCATGTGTCTACTCCGCCTATGACTTTTGTTTAACTAACCTCAAACTACATTCCGATAAAAAATTTGTAAATTTACATGTACTATATAAAAATAATATTGGTACCTATCAAAACTTACACATGAAATGTAATTCCCAAAGTGTTATTTTTTTCTGTTTTGGAGCAACCACAAGCACAACAACTAACCATTCTTTTTATGTCACTGCAACAGCCACAACAAAAATGACTCATAAGTGGCTTTTGCAAATGGTCGACTTCCGTCGCACTCTCTCTCATATACAACTTGATTAATGCTCCTTCCTCGTATTCTTTATTCATTGAAAAATATATACAGATATCTCCAAACAGGTGGAACAATCCCTAACATTACAGTTACTAGAATCTGGTATCTTCCGCCATTTTTGGGCAAAAATCATGCGTTCTCTCTCTAACACACGAGCCCAATGGATTGCGGTACTTTCTAAATTTAGTGACTTAACCATGAATCGTACACCCTCTAGCGGCGAAGTTAGAAAGTTGAAAATAATTTCCAGCAATTTCTCTTGGCCCCCTTTGTTAATAAATTTTTTTTCCCGAAGCTGTTCAATTAACGGTTCCACTATTAATGGGACACCCTGTACATACACATAATCAGTATAACAAAGAATTTTATACAAATAAACCTGCAACACTGTAAGTCGGCCGCTGTTACCATTTACTTTCAATAAAGAGCAAGCTATGCCAACATACCTAACAAAGACAGATATATTTTGCACCACGAGTAATTACCGGACATGAGCAATAGCATCCGAATGTAAATAGCTGAAAACCATGGGCGGCGCAAGAAGGGATCCTAAATTACAAATCATATACTTTATAACTTACCCATGAAATGAAATTGCACTTTCTGTATGTTCTACGTTCACCACAAATTAAATACAGTATTTTAATTATTACTTTGGTAAAAACTACTCGTATTTTCTACTGTAACCCCTTTATGTTCTACGGGAATAATACGCCACTGAAATGTAGGGAATGTCAACTGTACTGACAACTCAGTGCGCATGATCGGTTTTCTACTGTTGGCTATCTCTCTGACATATGTTGGCACATATTTAGTAACTGCGGGCTATATCTTTGGAATATACAGTGGTATTCATTAAGTAGTGGGCATAGGGATTTATGTGTATTATTTTCTCCATGTCTACTTTTAAATGACAAAATCTCTTCCGAAGGGTGCCTAATTTTATGCAACCAAAATAACTTCTTAAAGCACATTAATTAATTTGAATATTGTTTCTTTGGCTTCCGTATTTTTATTTTCGTTCGTGTGCGATGTATTTAACTGAAGAAAAAACTGATATTGTCAAATGGTATAGTGCCGGTAACAGTTCAAGGAGTGTAAGAGGTTTATTTTCTGTTAAGTCAAAGCAAAATATTCAAACTAATTAATATGACAGCCAGATGTTTATTTGTTTTACAAATTTATTTTCGATGCATAAAATATCACTGTATTTGATCTGAGATGCGGATGCTCCTTGAAAAGAAGAGCATCGAAAGTGCTCGAGTTTCTATGCCAAAGAGGGTGCGAGTTCTCCAAATGTGAAGAAGTTCAAGCAAACGCCGTCAGGGGTGAAAAGAGGTGCAACAATCGACGCGGCAAAGTACTGCGAGACACTAACAAAGCTACGTCGGGCTATCCAGAACAAAACGAAGGCCCAGCTGACAAAGGAAGTTCGTTTGCACGCCCATTCTCACGTGGCCCACATCACAAAGGAGTTCAGCGTTAAATTAGAGTGGGAAATCGCATTGACCATCTTCCGTACAGCCCAGTGACTGCTATTTGTTCCTCAACTTGAAACAACACTTGGGGGAATGAAAATCTCAAGCGACGAAGAGCTGAAGGCAACTGTCGATTCCTAACTGTGCAGATCGGTGGGAAACTGGTACCACACGGATATGACAAGAGTCCAAAAGTGATTAATCGCGATCAATTGGTTGCAATAAAATCATGTTTGCTAGACATGTGAAAAAGCATTGGACGGACAACCCCCACATAATTATCTTCTTGGAAAAAACAAAGTGGAAACGCCATTCCCACGCGCTCCCGCCCCACTACACCACTGCATTGAATAAGCACTTTATATTCAATGCTACTACCACATCACTTGTTAAGATATTTCAGTTTTTTAAAAAATGCGCTTTATTTGTGCGCAATTTACACTTGTTTTTAGTGTAAATTTGGTAGCTGTATCTGTATCTCCACAAGCAGCATCGAGAGCAGCATACTGCATCTGGCGCTCAGCTACCTAGTGGCGAATGGATCAATGGATGTTTCAATCTTTGTTTTTGAAATTCACTTGGTTTAACCGCAATGCAGAATGACATGTTTAATACCGTTATCCTATTGTTTGTAATCGTTTACGTTTTTGGTGTAATGTTTGCTTAATTTATGTTTATTGATGTTGATTGCTTGGTGTTGGTCTTGTCCCTGAAGTTACATTCATATAAGTTTTGATCATTTTATTTTAATATGTGGAAATTACCGATTCGTTTGATGTATGTACTGACTTGTTACTAACAATTTTCTACGTGAATGAAACAGTCACGGGGATGGTAAAAGCTGTAGTCAAAATTGAGCTACGACACCTAATTCCGTGGTTGTCTTCGACTTACAACTGTAGGCTCGAAACCCCGGACAAGGGGCAACGCTACCTATCTTGCGGGGGAGAGTTTATGCTAATCAAAATTCTTCGGTTTGGAATCTATGTGTAATGTATGGGTGGCGATTCAATAATTTCCACATATTTGACGGTTAGTTAAATTTGCCTACAAAGCCATGTAATTTTCCATCTTGCTTTTAACAAAAGGACTTTATTGCACTAAAGATTAGTCACATCCTGTGTATTTCACCCTTTCTTAGAATCTTGGTGCCTGCTTACCTGACCCATAATTCCCAAAACTTATTTTTAACCTATATGTTACCTCTTGAAGTTTACCTGCCACTTTTTGTGATGTTATAATTTTATGTTACGCGTTCATATCATTAGAAACAATTAATTTTACTACACAATTTGAAGTTAATTTGACGGCTGGTTTTTTTTATTGGTAAGTTCTTTTTTTCCCCAGCCTATTTCTATTTTTATTCGGTGAACTACCATTTTCAAACTTTATTTTTGCAATGTAATTTATTTTGGACTTAAATTTCCAATCTTAATCATTGCGATCATTATTAAACAAACTTGTCACAATTTCAGTGTTTTATTTAACGTTCCTTCCCTACTGTGCTTCAGGTCAAAGCGTTGTCTACAACTAACATAAGGGGGCTCTGCCTTAGATGTTTTATCACGTGCAACTTTTCAAATTTAAGCGGGATCTTGTTTAGTTTTAGAGGGAATAGTCATTTGGGTGGTCACTTTTAAACGTTGAGGGGGTTGACTTTTTCCGAGTTCTTGTAGTGTGAAGTTAGCGTAGAACCTGGGGGTTAAGTATACTACAAGCTGGACTGGCTTTTGATCAATTTTGGATAACTAGCCTAGCTTGTAAAAAAACTTCTGAACTAACCTCTCGCATACTGAGCAAGCCAGACTTTTACCAGATACTAGCGTCGGGGTGTACTGGGAGGGTTGTAATATGCGATGTTGCGTTTCAATAGTTTGAATTTTGCCCATGAACGGTCACAAATGGGCTCCGTAGTCTTCCGTCAATAGCAGAAGGACTTTTTCACTTCTTTTACTTTGGGACAACATACGCCTATTACGCATAATGGTTCTGCTTACCGTAACCTCGGTTCCGCCGCGACCTACCTTTAACAGTTTAAACTGATTCGCCTGAGATGTACGCATAACTTTCTCCGCTATGCTATATATAATCTCGTGGTACTTCTCGCGCAGCTCCTTCTCCTGCGTGACGAACTCACGATTGGCGGCGAGCAAACGTTCGGACGTGCTGCGCGGAAGCGTGGGTCGCTCGGGCTCCGCGTTCGCGCTACTCTCCGGTCCGTCTGCAACGCTAGTTAGTGGTTCTGCGCTAGTAGATTCTGTCGAGAAAACTCCGGTTACTCTAAGAAAGAAAGAATGATTTAAGATGGTCGCTCGACCACCTTGGAAACTGAAAATATGAAAATTCGGTTACAGTTTTGTTTTTTACGCACTCCTTCAAGGGTTATAGGCAAACGTTTCATGGAACATTTCCATAATACACAACTCGCAAACGCTCAAAAGTTAATCCACACAAACGGGCTGTTAAACAATCTCAATAAAAAACAAAACTGTTCACACGCCCACTCATACTTACATGTTTTTGCTTGAAAGTCTCTTCACCAATTTTATATTCATTAATTTTGAGATTTTCTCCCCCGTTTCGGACGTGGACTTTTGTGACTGTAAGGTCGCCTTCTTCTTCTCGTGTTTCTTTCTCAACGTCTCCAATTTCTTTTCTAACTCTAATTTCTTTTCCTTAACTAATTTGTTTTCTAAAATTTTGTCTAAAGGTTCGGCTACTATTTCCTCGACGCACAGTATCTCGGGCGGTTTTGTAATCGAATTCTGCTCCACCAACGTGGCAGAGACTGGAGGGGCGTTAGTCACGGGCACGTCGGTCTCCGTGACTAAGTCAATGGACGAACCGACGCCGCTAGTTAAAGTGGGGCGCGGCGAGGGACTACCGTTGCTAGTTAATTCTTGCGTCGTTTTCGCGGTCGCGTCTTTTTTTTGCTCGTCTTTAGTACCAGTGGGCGCCTCCATGTCGTCCGTGAGAACGGCTAACTGCCGCGACCTTTTTTCCAGATCACTTTGGTATTTAATGGGGTTTGCGAGAGCTTCGGCAAAATCGGATAACCCATCAGGAACGTAGTCTTTAACGACTATTAAAAGGAACAAACTGCATAACGGTAAAGGCTGACCTAGCTCAGTTCTTAAATTCACGTGACGATAACCGGGACACAGCCCGACGACAGGAAGAATCCGATGACCGATGAGTTTACCCGATTCCTCGTAAGCGGCTAAACGAATGGAAGCTAATTCGGGAAGCACAACTTTCTTGAACACGAAAGGTTCTTCATCGTACAAGGGATTGATCCCGTTATTGGGTATAATTTTTGTACGAAACTTCTTTCTAACTGTATCGGCGGGTAGACCGTACATGTCCACCTCTACGTAAGTTCCGACCCTTTTGTCAGTGAGAAACTGACCCGATATCACAGATATTTTGACGGTACCGGCTATAATACCGTCGACGGTCGACTCCGCGAACGGATCCAACCTTCTATCTTTGCGACGCATAAATTCCGGCTTTAGTAAATAACCCGTACGATAATTGTATTCGAATATTCCCAAGTTTAGTTGCATCGCTAAATCCAAGGTTTGAAAGTTTAACGCGACCAACTGGCAGCCCGCATTCCAAAAGACTTGCGGCATGAAGTTGGAGGAGTCGAATCGAGTACCCGCGGGATAGACTCTGCTCAGCTGGAATTTGTTGTAATTTACGAATTCGATCGGTTTCTCTTTTAAAAGCGTAGTGGCTTGCTTTTCGTCAAACGACGACATTTCGTAGCTGCGATTTTTTTCTGCAAACAAAGTAAATAACTGCTTCGAATTCGACGCACCACTTACTTTCTGCGTTTTCAAAACTGGAAAAATGAACCGGTTGTATATAGTTGACTAAGGCGGAAATTTCGGCGCCCGCCTCGGTCTCCTTTTGAGCAGCCGGTTTTTGATCCGGGTGTTCTGACGGTTGCCCTTGGACTGGTTCCACTTCTGCAGCATCGGCTTCTTCTTCACTTGACGAATCTTCATCTTCGGTACCCGTTGATTCTTTAGAGCCCTAAAAAGGAACGATAATGCTAAACCTAAACTAATTTTTTTTGTTGAGGATGCCTACTCTCTACCTTATACTCCAGGAGGCAGCGACATTTTTTGTGCACTCATTTCCACAAAGCTGATATTCTGCCATTTTATTGTTTTGATAGTACAAGTAAACAAAACGGTAGTCTACCGCGTCGGCGGTGTTGCCTAAGTTTGCAACAATGTTCTGAACATGTTAATAAATATGTACATGCCTCATTTCTATGAATGAAAAAATTATTCGATTGAACTTATTTCTACAAAGATGAAATTTTTTTTGGAGAAAGTTGATGTCATAGGAAACCAAAAAAAAATGGTCTGCCGATCGCGTGATGTTGCTAAGGTCTCGGTAGACACGCTGGAAGGTACGCTTTTCCGAGCGCAGCTGCTGCACTGCTCTGCTAAAAGTACCTCTAAATTATTATATACACCGGCATAAAATAAAAGTATTTCAAAAACGAACATAAATAATTAACATGAGAAAAAGGTTTTTGCAGATCGTTGCTCCCCATGATAATTTAGGTCTTAGCGGGTTTATAATGACACCAATCGAAAGAAGATTTTTTTTCTTTATCTAATGATATACGAATTAGTTCATTTTCAGTTGTATTTCTCATTATTAACGATCCTCGACATTGTTTATAATTTTGTATTGCTGTCTGTCTGTCTGTCTGTCCGTGTGCACGATAACTCATAACTGGATAATATCATTGACATTCGCTATTTTGTATCAAAATTTAATGCTACTGTTCATAGAAAATCGTGAACAAAAGTACCAGTTTCCATACGATTTTTTGACAAAAAAAGCCCGGTAATTAGATAACTATGCAAAAAATTTAATTGACTAACCTGTTGAAAAACGAGATGAGTTTTCAGTCTATGAATTTGAACGTTTTTCGTATTTAGGTTTTTGCTCAAAGTTTTCAACTTGTATACAGGGTGGTGCCTAGCGCGCCGCAGCATAGGAATTTCAATGGTAATTTCTTTATAGCCAATTACTAGCTCCCCTTATTATTTTAGAGCAAAAGTCTAAATACGTTTTGTTCAGAGAAAAAAATACCGCATCTGTTCATACTATTCCTCATAATTTTCCGTTTTTCAAAACCGTAGAAATCGACAAAATAAAAAGGTTCATTTTACAATAAATCAGATATGCCTTGGAATTACCTAAGGGATAACTTTTAATTATTTGCCTTTGACGTATGCTAAATTGGTACTTGTTTATAAATTAGTTAATCATAAAATTGTTTATCATGTATTTAACTGAAGAGAAAGAGGAAATGTTAAAGTTGTTTTATGCCCGCCAAGTAACGTCTTTATTTACTGTGAAGTAACCCAATGGACGGATTCCAAACAGTACCACAATAGACAGAATTGTGCACAAGTTTGAAAGAACAGGAACAGTGTTAAATCACTGCAAGTGCAATAACATTCAAAATGTCTGTCAAAACCATCAGGAAAACGACAATACATTCAACGTTTTGGCTGCAGTAGCGGAAAATCCGAATATAAGTCTTCCTCAAATCAATTTCTTTTTCTTCGATTATGTACTCTGGTTCCGGAAAATGATACACAAATAGTATCTGATGCAGATGCAGCATTACATTCTCTAAAAAACCCATAGACGCTTTTTCTTGCGTCAGTTAGTTGAAATAGAATTAAATACGATTATCGTTCGACGTCAAACAACGACAACTTAGATGCGATGCACTTGTAGTTTGTTAAAAGATTCCAAAGCATCACTGATTTATAAAAATGTAACTTTTTATTTTGTGGATTTCTACGGTTTTGAAAAACGGAAAATTATAAGTAATCGCATGAACAAATGCAGTATTTCTTTCTCTAAAAAAACGTATTTAGACTTTTGCTCTAAAATAATTAGAGGAGCTAGTAATTGGCTATAAAGAAATTACCATTGAAATCCCTATGTTGCGTCGCTAGACACCACCCGGTATAATACTATTTCTAGGTAATTTTTGTGGTAATGGCATTTTCAAAATGTCTGTACATAAAGTCGAATTTGTGCTTGAATTGGAGTTTTCGCAAAAATTTTTGAATGGGGTGGAATACTTCTCGTTTCTTTGAACGTTTGATTGCAGTATGAGGTAGAAGGGCCCATCTTCTTTGTAATTTAAATCTTGAAAAAATGTATCAGTCATTTTAACGACAAAAAATAATATGGTTACCTTGTTTTGAGTAAGGCAAAGGAATTGAATTGATTCTCAATAACTTTCGATTGCCGCTACTGTAAATATCACATGAATTAAAGTGATTTTCACAAACGATTTTAATTCTTCATCGTCTAGCCCGGCAATAACAGAATTTCCACAATTTATTTTCCTTGCTGTCATTCGAGGTTTGTTTTTGATAGGAAATTTAAAATAACTAATGTTTTTAGTTTTACTTACCTATTCGGCAATAACCCCAATTAGCAAAATCATGTTAGGCCATGAAAATTTTCTGTAGAATTGACACAGACGGAGTGGGACGCTCGTTAAAATGTACAGAAAACAAATATCGCGTACAGTAACCATTTCCGTCGTCGTTTATTATAAATAATTTTTCCTCAGTGAATAAATTTTACAAAAAAAATTATTAACAGCTGTCATAAACTGATTAATTTCGAATTGAATATCGAATCTTTTGATAAAAAAATCCGATACAACTGAATACCGAAGGATCCTCGAGATCTTCACGCATCCATCATTTTTAAAACTCGCCTTAAGGCGGCTCTGCAGTGAATTAAGATTTCGATCGTGCGCCTAGATAGAAAAATTTTTAGGCAACTAACAATACAAATTATTGCTGTTTTCCAATGTAGATTCTAAAACGCTGCAGGCTATAGGTGCTATTCATTCACAAACAAAGCAATTAGTACCTAAATAAATATGAATTGAAATACCCCTTATCTCTTTTCTTTCTTTGGTAATTTGTTGAGTTGGGTTTATTTTGAAATGACTACATTAGTCATAGAAATACGGTTACCGCTACCCAGAAATATTCAATTTAAATCTGAACATACCAACATACTTTTTTATGATCTATCGAAAGAAAATATTATCATGATTTATTCACTTCCGATTCTACCGCATGTCGATAGCAACTTTCTTATTTTAAATAGAACATCCTATATTTAATTACATTTTTGATGAAAATCTACATCGTTTGATACCAATTTCCCTATACCCAGAATCAAAGGTTTTCAAGTTATTCAAGATTTTTCAAAATTCAAAAATAGACAGTACTGACTTGATTCTACGTGACAATGATTTAAATTTTGATCGCCCTTCTACAGAGTGTTAACTAATGGTCAACTTTATTAATACCTATCTGTTATCCTTTCCGTTTTATTTTAGATTTTCTAAAATTGTGACCCTTTTGCATAAGTTTCATAGGATGCCTTGAAATAAATGCGTTAGAAGACATGTCAGACCTTTTTATAGTTATAGTTGATATTATAATGACAGATAATCAAAAGTTAAACAAAGATGATAATAAACAGAAACAGGTAATAATAACAAACGACAAAATAAAAAAACCAACATTCTTCTTCAAAGAGATATAAGCATCATGGATAGAATGAGCCGGCGCTCCGTCATGTTGAAATCAGTTTATTTGAAGGCCTCCTAAGAAAATTATGCATAACGGTCACAATTTTTAGAAAATCTATAATAAAAAGGAAAGCATAACAGATAGGTACCTATAGGGAATGTAATACTAAATCGATGTAGAATTTTTTTATTGGAAAGTGCAAAAAAATAAAGCAAGTTTCGTTTAAAAAAATCAACTTTTTAAGGTTCGAAGTTAATAAAGTTGACTATTAGCTTTGAAACACCTTGTAGAAGAGCGATCAAAATTTAAATCATTGTCACGCAGCATCAAGTGAGGACTGCACATTTTCAGATTTAATTAATCAATGAAAGCTTGAATACTTTTAGGTAACGGTTTGCGTGAAACAGTAATACTTGGTGTAATTACGGAAGTAGGTATCCACAAGAATCTTATCATTACAAACTTCTAATCAATGAAACCAGCAAAGAAATAAATTAAATTACATTATTAGCAAAAGTGTTAATGACGCCGGACAAAGCCCGAAGAGGTGAATTTCATTACAGATAACAATGAATAGCCTAATCTCTAATGCTATTGTTAGAAAAATAAATAGGATTAATTCGCAATTGCCAGTTAATGACAATTTCGCCGGGGGGCGTATGGTGTAATTTAAGTTGCCTAACTATGCTTTCGATTGGTGAAATACTTCATGATGTCATCAAAACATTTTCCCCAATTTTTTTTCTTAATTTAAGGGATGACCAAGATATACCTATGTACAATCATACAATTTTGTTAGCAGGTTGTAAATCGCCCCATGTCTGTATGTTTTATAGAGGCGCCGTTATCTTCAAGACAAGCTTTATCAATTGTACTAGTTATTTCCAAAATTATGGCAACCTTCAAAAAATGGTTTACGCATCATTCTGTTGGTTAATACCTACAATATATGTCGTCGGCCCTTTTTTTAAATGCGATTATAAAATCAAAATCTTAAAGAAATGATTCGCTATTTTGCCGATAGTTTAACTTTCACTGCAGAGCCGCCTTAAGGGGTTGATTCTGTCCCACCGAATCGGAATAGCTTGTAAAACAAATTGTTTGAAACGGAGTTAAGACTTTTATTCGAGGTGTCTAGATACAAAAATTCGCTTAAAAATCTTAACCAAAAAAACAAAACAATTTTTTTGATTCGGCGTTAGTTTCACTTTTACTCGAGATGCTTACATATTAAATTTGAATGAAATATCTTAACAAATATGGAAAATTGGGATTGCGCAAATACAAAAGTTGAGTTGCGCATGCGCAATTTTTTAAAAATTCATCTGCATAGTTACCTGGGGCTTAAGGGACATTTATTAACACAGAAAACCGGGCATTCACATGTTCTTTGTAATAAGAATTATAAAAGAAGCTCTTTTTTGGACGTTTGAGCAGTTTTTGGGCTGTAATTTTTTGCCCCGCTAGTCTACGCAGCTGAAAAACAATACCTAGCGATCTTTCTTATATCCTTAAGAACAGCTGTTTCAATTTTCAAAGCGATCGGACTTTTCTATCAAAGTTATTCAGTTATGAGTTATCGTGCACACGGACAGACGAACAGACAGCAATACAAAATTATAAACGATCTAGAGGATCTTTAATAATGAGAAATACAACTGAAAATGAACTAATTCGTATATCATTAGATAAAGACAAAAAATCTTCTTTCGATTGGATTGGTGTTATTATAAACCCGTTAAGACCTAAATTATCATGGAGAGCAACGATCTGCAAAAAGCCTTTTTCCCATGTTAATTGCCTATGTTCGTTTTTGAAATATTTTTATTTTATCGTGTATAAATAATTTAGAGGTACTTTTAGCAGAGCAGTGCAGTAGCTGAGCTCGGTAAATCGTACCTTCCAGCGTCTCCACCGAGACCTTAGCAACATCACGCGATCGGTAGACCATTTTTTTTTGGTTTCTTATGACATCAACTTTTTCCAACAACAATTTCATCTTTGTAAAAATAAGTTCAATCCAATAATTTTTTATGCATCTTGCGTGGGTGGTAGACTTGTGATAGCAACGCTTCCAGCTCGGTAGACTATTACCACACTTTTTTTAGGATACTTAATTACTGTACAAACTTTTATTCTTGTAGAAATGAGGCATCTACTACATTAACATGTTCAGAACATTGTTGCAAATTTAGGCAACACCGCCGACGCGGTCGCCAACCGTTTTGTTTACTTGTACTATCAAAACAATAAAATGGCAGAATATCAACTTTGTAGAAATGAGCGCACAAAAAATGTTGCCTCCTGGACTATTATATTTGGATTCGAATTTGAGTTACCATACCTGACGCGCTTGCATTTGCAAAGGAGGTGCGTGATGCGACGCAATATCACCATTTCCGGTAGGTTCGGAAGCTTCTTGACTAGGCGGCGGCGTCTTCTTGTGGTAATGGTGATGGTGATGATGCTTCTTCTTATTCTTAATGATAATTTTCCGTTTCAACAGCGAAGGCGATGGAAGCTGCGATCCTAAAAACTAAACGTAAACTCCCTCACAAGCGGCGGCGGATTTAACCTGGTTCTAGTTTATGAGTATCTAGCGGCTGCTCCAAAAGCATCTCCCCAAAAATTTCCTTACAGTAATTGGCGATTTTCGCCTGCTGCCTCGGGTTGCAGTGGTTCTCGAAGGATAATACAACGGGATAATCCGAAGTTTTAAAGGCGCTCTCTGCGATTGCCTCTAGAACTTCCTTCGCGGGGATGTCCTGCACGAAGGTATAACCGTGCACTATCACCGGTTCGTCGGTTTTACCATTCCAAAAATCTAACTCGACGCACCTACGGTTTAATATTTAAGAAAGGCGGTGGATGGGATTTGTTACCTGCAACCGGCCAGCAGACATTGCCTATAAATTTCTACACTAGATTTCCCTGTAAGCTGATGACCCGTTAAGTACGTGTTGTGAGATGAGTTGATGAAATAATGAGACAAGGACTGATCCATATCGTCGCACAAATCAAATTTACTAGACGCGATAATGTTGTTGTCTTCGGACATGAAATACCTCAAAAAGCCATCGAAGGACAGTTGCCCTTTTTGTACGTTATATTTATTTGGCTCATATTGTGCGATTATATCTTTTGCTCTGGCGGTGTTAGCGTAAGGGTATAAAATTTCGTTCAGTCGCGGATCCCGTTGAGTTTTGTTGAGGAAATCTACCAATTGTGCGGCGGTCATATTGTGCCTCTTAGGTGTACCGACTCTACAAATGCAATCGGAATAATACACAATTTACATTAATTGAGCTTTACTTACAATTCATTAAAGACTTTCTCCACCTCCGACCTTTGGGTTAAGCTTTTGTATAAATTAAAAAAATCTTCAAACTGAAACTTTTCAATACTAATTGTGTCATTTTTTCCAGAAGGAAGACCAGATATATCTAAGGCTTTTTCCACTCTTTTTCGATCTTCTTTATTTGATGTAAACATTTTTATTACGCTGAAAAAATGAGTCAGAGTGAGCCAGTGATAATTGAATTAACATAATTCAAAAAGTACTGCTCGCAGTCACACAAATCATAATGAAGCGAAGACATCCAGACATCGGGGCGCTAGCAGGCGCCGTAACAGATAAGTCACCCGAGATATGGAACAAAACGAGTGTAACGCGTTCTTTCCGAGAAATCCCCGACTTCGCAGGTATTCGAGAATGCTCTAGAATGTGATCTAGAAACTTTTCGTTTACTATACAGGGTGACAATTTGAAAACTTACCACCCCCCATATCTTATTAAATAAACGAGATATTTAAAAAAATCAAAATCCGTTTCGGTAATTCGGAGGGGGAATCACAATGACATAGTTGGCGACGCACCCCCTCCAACCCCCTGCGCCCCAGCCACCCCAACTTTTAAATCTTAAATAGTGACCCCCCATGTGTGATACGTCGTTGGAAAGGTCTGAAAAAATGCTTTCCAACCATACCAAATAGCATTACATTTAGGTTAGTAATTATCGTGCAAATCAGCAAAATCGCAAAACAAAATTAAAACCTTCCCACACTTACTTTTTGATTGGTATTTTTCCTGCCTTATCAGTGAGAAGGGTAAGTTTGGTGTATGCTTTGAGAAGGAACATGCTGGTGGTGCCGTTAACCTGCGTCAGGTTGTAGGCCAAACTCATCAGGGCGTCCGTCCAAAGGCGAGAGATCTCCTTCCTCGTGCAGCAGAAGTTTACAAAGGAAATATTAACGAAATCTGTTCCGCAGCAGACGGTTACAGTTTTCTCCTCCAACGTGTCTTGGGAACCCATCGTGACGATCTGCCTCAATTTTGGATCCTGCAACAATTAAAATGGAACAATAATTCTAAACGAAAACACGAGGGAGTAATATCTTTATTGTGGCACATACGCTTCGGTGCCTGCAAAATCCCCCAACAATTAAGTAACAGGTAAACTTGTTTTAATCAATTTAGTTCGCGAGGAGATCGTTTTATTAATGCGGGAGCAATAAATTTGTTTAACGCTCGTAAAATGTTAACGTTAGAATGCGACAATTGAATTTCAATATTAATCTAGAAACTCATTAAACCGTACTAAATTTTGATGCTAAAGCGTACATGATACGTAGGTAATTAGCCGCCCCCACGAATCACATTAAGCTTATACGCACCCTATGTAATTTACTTACAAACCGCACGTATCTAATGCGAGTATGAAACTTTTATCGCATTAAATGGATCTCAATAAAAAAAAATTAGTGCTCGGAGGGTTGTTGACGTACGTGTTTCGGAATATTCCGCAATGAGCCACCGCTCGTAAAATTACACCCTCTGTTAATACACTTGCTTGCTTGCAACATTTCAAACTGTAGAGCACTCAAATATGCATCGGAAGACACCCCTGTATATAACAAAGTTTATTCTTGTTGAGAAAAATAGCAACACTAAATATTTTTAAATAGATCAGTTAGCACTGAGAGATTGAGTAATTGTTCTAAATAAATTTGTCAGTGTATTTTTATGACAAATAATTATAATCTTGTTTTAACTACGTGTTCACATATATCTGTCTTCTAAAAGGTTATGCGCCCAGTATACCGCATCTGCGAATAAATTTCAAGCATTCAAAAGTTGTCGTTTGTGCAGATAATTTTTTCGAATTGTTTGTTATGAATGAAAAACTGGTGTCGTTCGTCAAGTTGAATGCTTCCAACTATGACAATTGGAGCTTCAAAATGAAGTTATTGTTAATAAAAGAAAAATGTTGGGAGGCTATCAGCAATGAGAAACAGGAACCAGTTACGGTACAGTGGAAATCGAAAAATGAGCTGGCAATGGCACATATTGGATTAGCAGTTGAAGATAACCAGCTGATACATATTAAGAAAGCTGAAACGGCAATGGAGGCTTGGCAAAATCTAAAAAGGGTTCACGTCAAAAACACTCTAAGTACAAAAGTGTGTCTGATGCGAAAAATTTGCCGTCTTCGTCTTGAACAGAAGGGTGATATGGAGACACACATCGCTACGCTAACGGACCTAGTAGAAAGGTTGAATGCAATGCAGGAAAATGCAGTTCTGGATGACCAGTGGTTAGTGGCAATTTTATTTAGCAGTCTCCCTGAGGAATATGAAACTCTAGTCACTGCTCTGGAGGCGAGGCCGGATGAAGATTTGACCCTGGATCTCGTAAAAGGAAAATTGATTGACGAGTGGCAGAAAAGAGTGAATCGTGCGAGTGGCGAAAACAGCAACGAGACAGCTTTGCATACTACAACCAGAAAAGAAAATGATAAGTGCTATTTTTGTAAAAAGGTGGGTCACAAGAAAACAAGCTGCGAAAAATGGAAGAAATGGAAGGAAAATAGGCAGAAAAACGGAAAGCAAGATGAAAAATTCGTTAATAAGGCGCACTGTGTGGTAAAAACTGATAATGAATCATCCAATTGGGCATTCACAGCAGGCAATCTGGCATTTCCGGGTGTTTGGATTCTTGATTCCGGTGCGACGTGCCATATTTCAAACAATCGTGATTTTTTTGAGTCCTTTGACAGCAGTGTCAAAGAAGATGTTAGTGTTGCTAACGGAATGAAAGTAACATCTACTGGAAAAGGATCCGGAAAGTTAATCGCAGTTGATAGCGCGGATAGACGTCGCGTTATTATGGTTGATGACGTGTTGCTGGTAACAGAAATGAAGGTAAACTTATTGTCAGTGAAGAGACTAGTGAGCAAGGGATTCATTGTAAACTTTGACGCGAAAGGTGCTACCATTAGTAGAAATGGGACTGTAGGTGCAGTGGCTGAATTGATGAACAATTTGTTTGTGTTAAAACTCTATAATGAAAATGTGTCGTTGGTGACTCAGCCCACCGAGTGCGTTCATATCTGGCATCGTAAGCTTGGACATAGAGACCGTGACGCTGTAAAAATGCTTCCGAGATTGGCGAACGGAATAAAATTATGCGAGTGTAACTGTCCAGAGGATTGTGAGGTGTGTATTCGTGGGAAGATGCATCGAGTTCCGTTCCCAAAGATTTCTGGGAGCAAGTCGACAGGTGTGATGGAGCTTGTTCATACGGACGTATGTGGTCCGATGCGAACTGCAACGCTTGGCGGAAGGCGCTACTTTCTAACATTTATAGATGACTTCAGCAAGTATACAGTCGTTTACATCTTGAAACGAAAGTCGGAAACGTTGGAAAAGCTACAAGAGTACGTCGAGATGGTCAACACCAAATTCGGTAAGAAGCCGAAGATACTTCGCTCAGATAATGGAGGTGAGTACACTGGGAAAAATTTTAAACGATTTTTGAAAGAAAATGGCATTGTCGGTCAATTCACCGCGCCGTATTCGCCACAACAAAATGGCATTGCGGAACGTAAAAACAGGTATCTAGTAGAGATGGCTCGGTGTATGTTAATCGAGGCCGGACTTGATCACCGGTTCTGGGGTGAAGCCATAACAACTGCAAACTATCTTCAAAATCGTCTCCCTTCTCGTACAATTCCTGTTACGCCATATGAACGCTGGCATGGAGTAAAACCAAATCTAAGCCACGTGCATCCCTTCGGCGTTGATATTTACTGCTACATACCGGAAGAAAAGCGTAGTAAGCTAAACGAAAAAGCGAAAAAGTTGAAATTTATGGGATATAGCGAGGTGTCAAAGGCATTTCGTTTGATGGATGTGTCGACAGGAAGAATTACAATAAGCCGTGACGTAAAATTTTTGAACAGCTTCGGCTCTGTGCAATCTTCAGAAAGTGTCACTTCATCAAGCGAAATAATTGTTCCATTTTTGACAACGACTCCATCTGAATGTGAGCAACATGAAGTTCCCATAGCGGATGAGGATGAAGAAGACGTCTGCCAAGATGCAATACCTATTGTTGAAGAAAATACCTGTAGAAGGTCTGCCAGGACAACGAAAGGACAACTACCTGATAGATACGCTTGTGCGGCAGAAACTAGAGTTCAGGAGGAGCCGAGAACGGTGAAAGAGGCGCTGTCTGGACCAGATTGCGACAAGTGGAGGAAGGCCATGCTAGAGGAACTTGAATCAATCCGTGATTGTGACGCTTGGGAGTTGGTCGATGCCCCATGTGGAAAACGTATTTTGGGGTGTAAGTGGATTTTCAAACTCAAGCGAAATACGAATAACGAGGTAATAAGGTTCAAGGCACGACTAGTAGCTCTAGGCTATAATCAACAATATGGAAAGGAGTACGACGAAGTGTTCGCACCAGTAGTTCGTCAAACAACATTTCGGGCGCTGATGTCAGTGGCGGCAAAGCGAAGAATGGTCGTAAGGCAGTATGATATAAAAACAGCGTTTCTAAACGGCGACCTTGAGGAGGAAATATTCATGCGACAGCCGCCGGGGTTCGTCGTCAAAGGATCTGAAGACAAGGTCTGTCGTTTGAAACGGAGCCTGTATGGATTAAAGCAAAGCGCTCGTTCGTGGAACAATAAGCTTCATCAAGTACTGGTAGGTGATGGCTTCAAGAGAAGTGAAGCTGATCCATGTTTATATAGCAAGCAGGTTAATGGAAAACGATGCTACATCCTAGTTTACGTAGATGATTTAATCATTGCTAGTGAGGAAGAAAAACTCATCACGTTGGCTGGAAGGATATTAGAGAGAAACTTCGAGATTGTGAGCTTGGGAGAGGTTCGGAATTACGTCGGTATCGAAGTGGAACGTGATAATGATGGGGATTTTCACATTTCGCAACGAAAATATATAACGGATATCGTGAAGTCAGCTGGTTTGGAGGATGCTAAGTCATCTCCGATTCCCATTGACGTGGGATATTTCAAGCCAAATACTGAAGACTAGCCACTTCCTGATAATACGGAGTACCAAAAGCTGGTGGGAAAATTGCTTTTCGTGGCTGTTAATAGCAGGCCAGATATAGCTGCTCCTGTATCCATTCTCAGTCGTAAACTGCCGAATCCTACGCAGCGTGATTGGAATGAACTGCGACGAATTGTACGATATCTGAAGGGGTCGATCAACTTGAAGCTTCGTCTAAGCAATCGTGGCGATGATTCTGGTTTGGTTGGATATGCTGATGCGGATTGGGCGGAATGCCGAAATGATAGAAAGTCGAACAGTGGATTTTTATTCAAATTCTGTGGCGGTACTATATCATGGGCATGCCGCAAGCAGACCTGTGTTTCATTGTCAACTGCGGAGGCTGAATTTGTGGCCTTGTCGGAGGCATCACAAGAGGCAATATGGATTCAACGACTTCTACATGATCTCGACGAGGACGTTCAAAATATACAGCTTAACGAGGATAATCAGTCTTGTCTGAAAATGCTGCATACTGAAAAATTTAGTAACAGGACAAAACATATTGATACAAAGTACAATTTTGTCAAGGATTTGTATCAAAGCGGAGTAATCCAGTTCATGTACTGTCCATCGGAAATCATGGCGGCAGATTTACTCACCAAGCCTGTGGCACGCGTTCGAGTTCAACAGCTTAGACGATTGAATGGACTGGAGGACTAAAAAGCCAGTGTTGAGGAGGAGTGTTGAGAAAAATAGCAACACTAAATATTTTTAAATAGATCAGTTAGCACTGAGAGATCGAGTAATTGTTTTAAATAAATTTGTCAGTGTATTTTTATGACAAATAATTATAATCTTGTTTTAACTACGTGTTCACATATATCTGTCTTCTAAAAATCTTCGTAATACACTAGCATGAGGGATGGGCGGCTCGTTGGCCGCCCTTTCTACCCCATGTATGTGTTAGCGTACAATCTACCGATCTTGAAATTCTTTTAATTTTCGGATTGCGGAATCCCCCCCCCCCCACAC